ACATGCGGACTTCGGGTTCCTCCGGTTTCAAAGTTCCAAGGTGGGCGTTTAGTCAAATAAATCCGTTGTGTATTTAACACGTCTAATATCCATAGGTAACGCCCTGTTACACTCGGCGTATCTTCTGGCGCCACGCACATCGCGACCCATGTTCGCGGAGGCAGTAACTTCTGATATGAAGTGTAGGCAATCCACGGTATGCGCAGTGAACAATATACCATTTTACACACCAGTTTTATGTACACAGTCTGTAAGGAGTGGACGGGTTGAATGCCGAAGTAGACGGCAGTTAAAGCGGTTTTAGTGTCAAAGTAATAAAAAACACACACGTACGGTTTTCCCAATAAAACTCAAGGAGCTTATACCTGTTACTCCTATTTCTTTGTTTTGTGTTCATCCGCTCAGTTGACCTATTTAGGGTTGGCAATAATATACCATGCACTTAGGTTACACAAACGTTTGTATTTTGCTGTTGATAGAACAGAAAATTTATATTTGGATTTATTTACGTATAATTTCTGTTTTGAAGAACAGGATACGTCGGAGGTCATCCGGAGGGAGGGGGGGGGGGTGGTGGGAATTCGAGCGAAATTCCGGAAACAAAGGCTGTTTCGTATATTGAATATTTTTCTCAGCCAGCCGCAATTGCTGATGCGAGACGGAAGATTCGTTTGGGAATATTTAACTAAGTTGTCGTTTAGGTGGTGGGCTATATTCTACAAATATTGACCACTGCTGAGGTGGATATAGAGATTTGTTAACTCGAAGCCAGCACTGCTCTGAGGGTCGATATTTCTTGAGTTAATATTTAAAGGCTATACTGCAAGATCTCTGTTGTCCCAGTCTCCAGTGACAGAATCTAGAAATTTCTCCATGCACAAGTAGCTGTTTCATAACATTTCCAATTGTTCGTACGTATTTATATTCCTTTCAAAATTAATGTCATATTTATGATTGTTGACTGTATAAAATAGTCTGTGACGTGCGCGCACACTAACAAAACAACACATTGCACTAGAGACACGAGATTCGAAATAAAACGCTGCAATACAACAACACATTTCCGGTTGAATAAACATTTTAATGTAACTCACATAAATGTGCACAATGACTCATCTTCCTTGATGAAATATATAATAGAAACACTAAACGTCGTTAGTTCTGAAAACCAATATTATAACAAGCCGTTTTCTCGGACATAGTATCTACGTTGTTATAACTGGTGGTCAATGCTTTATCTTGTGCATTGTCATAGTTAATGTGTTTTGGGCCATAATGTATACACATTGTTTGAAATCATTATGTTCAGCTTTATTTTTCATATTAGCATTTCTACTAATATAGTGCTATATAACAGAAGCAATTATTCCTATAATACACGATGAAGAAGCTTGTCCTTGTTTGTTTGTAATAGTAGTATTTCTCTCGACATTATAGATACAGTCATATATCCAGTACTATGGCCACCGGTATACGAACATACTTATTGATAGAATAACATTTAGAAATAAAAAAATTGACAAGATGTATTTGAATAGTTCAAATTTGAGCTCATTAAAACCTATAATTTCCGTTTCAATTGTAACACGTTGGAATGTAAATCCTCTAAGTGGTACGTAAGCAAGGCAAAATAAACAAAAGAGAAATTCATCTTTAACTACAATAACAATATTTTTAGGCTTAATTCACATAATTTATTGTCTCATTGAGTGCCATCTTTTCTCCCTATTTCAGTTGAAATATTACTTGCTAAATCTAAACAAGACATTTCGTAGGTGACCTCTATCTATAATGAATAAATAATGAACAAATAACAGCGACGTTTCAAATTATGAATAAATGTCTAACTTTGAAATTCCATCAACGCAATTGGACCATTCTGTTTATCTATGTATTGACACCGTTATTTGAATACATTATACATTAACATCTTCATTCCCAACAATTTGGTTGATCCAGAGCTCACCAAAACCATAACAAGTTTGTAATTTCCAACAATTAGTGTTATTTTCTGACGTATTAAGCTGAAATTTATAGCATTGGTAAATATTTCTTGTGGTATCTCCATTGGCATAATATTGGCCATGGCCATAATGTTTGGCAAAACGAAAATACACAATGGACTTTAGTGTATAACGCCCTAGTTCACCTCATACTAAAGTTTGGTTGATAAGATGTAACACATAACAAAACAACATAGGATCACCACGTTCTATACTAATTACGTTATGAAAATCCGTACGTCACAGCCATATAAAAAATATAAGTAGGATTTTGATATCAAATTGCCTCAATATAATATCACATAGTTTCAAGTCTGGATAAGCCTTCTTACATACAACACATAACAAAATAATGGTTCGTTTGCTTGTTCCGAAATTGCGTTCTGCGCCTTGAATCACACATCATTCATGGTAGAAACAACACTTAAATACGACACGAGTTTGACACGTTCTCCTCCCAGCAGTCAGGTCCTGTGGTATCCTAGAGGACCACCTCGTCTAATAAAACATTATTTCACTTTTGTCAGAATTTATGCGCAATTTCCTTTTTATATAGTAATCATTGCTAAATCGACTGCAAATAAAAAATAAATTTGTAATAAACCAACATGAACGCCAGAAAAAGAACAGTTTCATTCTCAAGATGCGTGTCAATATCATTGATATATTAGCAGACGTAAAATGATCTTTGCAAAAACCTCGAGATGTTTTGACGCGAATTTGAGAATTTAAAAAATCTTCTCTTTCACTCAAACCTCGTCGTGTTGAATTGTGTTCAAATGCATTTTCGCACAGCATAGCCAACAACATGAATAAGATAAATATTTGTTAATAATAGTATGCAACACAAATGAGTTGTTTCATATACGGTATTTATGTTTAAAACCGACTTGGGCAATTTTATGGTTGTTTTCAAACAATATTGCGGATATTTACAAATTATGGACATGAAAGTATCAAAGGTGTGATCCAAACGATACACACTTATTATTCGAACTGATTCACACAGTGACACAAAACAATACTTTTTATCTTTGAAAGGTGTAGCTCAAACAATAGACACATATGGTGGATAAATACTACAATATCTTCAATATATGTTTTTTGACATATTTTCCACAGTTGCATGTACGATATACCTTCCAACCTGTGAATATTTACATTTTTCATTTCAATTAGTATATAGAATATTGTTACACAACTTTGATTTATTGAAAATATATTGCATGGTCACGGAGCACTGCTATATATATATATGTCTATATCAGTAATTTTAATATAAAATAGGTACATTATTCTTAGTAATAGTGACACCTGTTGTTTAGTATGAAAAATCCCCATGGTTGGTTACAAGAGCATAGAAGTTTATAATTAAAATTGTTTTCCATAAAAAACATGATGAAACCATCATAAACAGTCTTTTAATTCATAGTGGGGTGGACAGAGTAAGCCTGGGCTTATTTTTATTACTTTCTGACCATCGAGTTTGCCATTCAGCATGACAATTTCCATATAAACAAAAGCTCTAGCCAATATCAGATTTGACTACTTGTTCTAAGGTCTGGCACTTGGAAATGAGCGTTGTGACATGTGGCAAATGTCAGAGTGTCTTGGTTAATAAGATTGGCTAAATTTCAACTAGAAACGGGTAAACCAGTATACCTGTATGTATGAAGCCAGTGAATTTTATTCAAGCCAAAGAAACTGCATCTATTTATATAAATACACATGAACAGAGAATATTTTCTTGGAGCACTAAATGTGACAATTGCCCTACTGTCTGTGCTACATAGCACCCGACGAGGAGCTGGGTAGTTAGTGAAGAAAAACATTGACTGAAGCATTGCAAAGCACTGAATTGTTGTCAATAGCAACAAACATATTGGAAAAGTCAAAGACAGTAAAAAAAAACACAGGCATATAAATACTAACTTTCTAGGATCTTTATTTGCTCCAAGTAATCCAGAATAGAACGAGATGAATCAACGTTATAGTCCGTCATTTTTATTTTAATATTAGATGCAACCATTATTCTATAGGGGACAGCGGGTCATAACTTGAGGGGAGTTAACACCCATGATTTTAAAAATGTCTTGATCAATAAGAGTTCAAGTTACAGGGAAACATTATTTTGATTTTTCAGTGGCCCAATAATTGCTGCATTATAAGTATCACTTCCCTGTCAAATTAGTGGTTCATGCTTATTTGAATCTGAACATAACAGGCGACTTCTATCACACCTTGCTAGACTCAAACTTCCATCCAATCAGAGCATTCCAAATAAACATGACTCCCCTCAAATACTAGAGGGCGCTCTGACCAAAAAATGCCATAATTTTAAATAAATAAATATTATATATATATATATATATATATATATATATATATATATATATATATATATATATATATATATACATTGTATATATATACACGTTTGTTAATTACATCACACACACAAAATAATTACACACAAATAACAGTAGTATGTAAAATTGGTAAAGCATGTATTCTGCGTAATAGAAAAATGCATCTTAAGCTTTAAAAGAAGAAATATACATCATCTTTGCACATTGTTCAAAATATCATCATTATCATACATCCCGCAAAGTATTTTATTAATGTTATCAGTCGGATCAACTAAAGTGATTCGTTGCATCGATATAGTAGAATACGTAAGGCAATTTACAATATGCATTACAACACTGAGAAGTATACATGTATAAAAGACGAAAACTAGTCACGTTAAGCATATTAACGTAAGAATAAATATAACCACTAAAGAATTATTCGTTATTTTAACATTAGTTTTTTAATAAGTTTGCCTTGATTATAGAGACTAATTGGAATCATTAGAATATGGTGAAATTAAAACGTCTATACGAATGTGTGTTATGGTAATTATGTTACCATTAGTATAATTAATTACACAAGCAAGTCTGGCCGCCTACATCCTATATCTATAATCGCAAAAAAATATTGGTAAAAAAGAGATAATTACATCATTGGCAATTATTTATATAAATTAAGAGAAATGATTGAACTTAAATTTTTAAATCGTTGTTCTACAAAAAATGTTTTGAAATGTTTGCTAGTATTGATGCAGGAAAATTAACAAAATTACACCCTCTAGCATCAAGGCGACAATGATAATTTAAAAAATAGATCATTAGACTGTTTTGCCGTTTTCTTCGCTTAGGATTTAGATAGATTTTTTGGTTGATTTCCTCTATCAAATTTATATATTTTTTCAGGATTTCCTTTCCACACATTTGTTATTCAAATCACTCCAGGTTTCTAATATTCATCCCCTAATCAGGTAGATTTTGTCACTTGCTTGAACGCTACGATTGGTTGTCTTCCCCAATCTGGCCCGTCTGTACAATAGACCTTGACGTTGCCTTGGGAACAATAAATGACACACTGCTAAGTCTCCTATCATTGTCAGGTAATGTGTACTGTCCCTGTTGCCTAGGCGGTAGGTAGTAGTCTGGCTCCGGTATATTGGCACGCTGCTGTTGGATATGAGAATATAAACATATACAGTGGTTACTTCTACTGCGCTGTGTGGCATGGGAGCACTTATCATCGATTGTAATATATTTTTTTTGTGTACAGTCTAATTTGGCTTTAATGTTATTTAAATTAAATGAAGCATTTTCTGATCAACGTTACATAATATTGTATTGTAATTCAACGATCACAATGAGGTGCAATTAAAAATATCAGGGTAAATAGTCGATTGTCATTGAGAAGGGAAAAAACAGAACATTGTGGAAGATACATGAATGTGGTTGAACTAATAGAGATGAATATATGCACAACTCTATCAGGTATGACAACATTGAATAATGGCTGCCATCAGCTGCAGAAATAATATCTATTTGTTTATTTACAATGGATAAGTTTCAATTTATTATTGATGTGCATAAGTAGTTCAGCTCTATTTTAACTAACTATTAAGTAACTATTGTTAAAGCGCGTGGTCGTCGCGCAGCGTGTTTTCGAATTTCATGTAAATAAACAATGTATTTTACAAGCGTTGTATACGTCGCTATATCGAACAGGACGCGGCACGACGACCACCGCCCTTTAATTAATTAGCAACACTTTACTCTATAGTATGACGTCATTCTATAGCGCATTCCTGGTGTACATTCCGATCGTCCAGCTATTTCCACACGAAGTTCCAAAATAGAACATAATTATGTTTTGAACACTGAACATTGGGACTATTGATCATAAACGTGAATAGCTGACCGGAAAAACCGTCTGGTAAGAGGGGAGTACTGGAAGATGAAAATGGGTTTTCAGTTTAATTTAATTATACTCGTTCTGATACTATGCAAATTAGCATAACCTTTCATCTCAACTTGTGCAAAACAAATCTCGATTTGACATCCTACATATGTTTCCTCACATATTTTAAATTCAAAGCTGGGTTTTCAGTCGTTGCTGTTTCAAATAACATTCATGTAGATATTTAGCATTATTTACAAAAAGAGTAACCAGACAGCCCAAAACATGTACACCGAATACACGGTTGTTCTTATATGTTTATCGAGTATACGCTATGTTTCGTTTTACCTGTAGATATATGTCACGTTCTTCAGTACCCGTGGCAATGTAAGGGCGCATAGATTCGTTCGAGTTAGGGTAATCACGCAATGGTTCTGTGACTGGTGTCCCCCGAGAGGTGCTGGCACTGTTCTTCGATCCCTGAAATAAAACAGTAGTATTTAATCAATCATAAAACTGAAAAAACTGAAAAAAAAGAGAATTATTGTAAATCTACCATGTTTACAAATATCACACCTGAGCTAACAGTTATTATAAATGCGCTGCAAAATTATTTTTATATACTGAATACTTATTCAGGTTTCTCACATTTACCATGAATAACTACTCAATTTGATACCAGGAATTCAAGTGTGAGTAAACGTGCACGCAAATTCAATATCAGTGGCGGATCTAGGGGGGGGGGGTTCTTGGGGTCCGGTTTGGTTTGCAGTGTTAATTTAAGATGTCATAAAGATCGCCAAAATTCGACTGAATTATAGAATACACACCCTGTTATTTCTTGGAACCGACTGTTTGATTTGTCGCATATAAACGTCTAATTTCTCGTCATCGTCTTCGTATATAGAGTTATCAAACTCGTACTCATTGATTCGCCGTCTCCCACCTTCCACGTCATGGTTTCTAGCGCTGCTAGACGAGAATTCATAGATATACTTCTTACCATCCGCATACAGACCCATGCCGTCCAACATAGGGTGCTCACCTGAGGTAACCCCATTTGGAACCGGTACCTTGGTGACGTGCGCATTTGCTCTGTACACGATACAGCAGTGGACACAGAAGATGGTTATTCCAATTAGTAGCACGCCTCCCAACACACCGGCTATGATCAGCATTACTAGACTGTGATTGGTGGCTGAAAAGTAAGTAAAAGTTGGTTGACATCATGTTGGGAGAAATGTTTCTGCCAGTGGTATAGACTGATGATTTCATTTTAGCAAGAGTGGAGCCTATAATCAACAATAATTACATTTTTTTTCCTTCTGAAACTGTCAAATTTCCCTTGGGGATGAGTGGAATCAAGCTTAAGATTGAATTAAATAATTCTGATTTGGAGGGGAGGTCAGATCATAAAAAATGCCAAACGGTTTAAAATTCAGCGGTGTTGAGATATAACATAATGCAATCAGCCCTGGTAATGTAATCTTTGATTTCGCCTCCTAAAAGTTCTGAAGTAAGCGACAATTAGACCAAACGTTGATGCCGTCGTCCATGAGAGTTGAAATGGTGGTCTCAAGTAAAATAAGGTTGCCATTGAAAGGTTTACATTGTGACAGACGGCCCGCCATAAAACCGAAAACTACAGTCCATACAGTCACATGAGCGAATACAACATTTACAAACAGAATATATGACCATCTTACCAGAGCATTTTCTACCAGGTCTCATGGATTCATCCGATGAGTCGTCATCGTATCCACTGTTACATTCACACGTAAATGTACCGTCTGATAAATTGATACATGTGGCATGTTCAGAACAGTCATTACCACCAGGCCTGGTACAGGCGAGGTCTTCAAAATCTGAAAAATGATACACAAATACGTTGATAATACCGACAAAACATCTCTTTAACCCCATTCGTAACAACAGTCGAGTTGCTTCGTCTATTTACTTTATATATATATATATATATATATATATTATATAAAAAAATCCTCATTCGTGGTTTGGAATTTTGCATTTCGGGGGATTTCATGGAAACCATGACTATTTTCCAAATGGCGTCGACACCATATCTCTGTTAGACTGTGTTACTAGCTGATGTCTTAGATTAGTGAGAGAAGTTTTCATGTACATCGACTGCGAGACATATGATACAAATAGTACATCAGTATATTAGAGTTTTAGTCTATATTATTATATCAATAACCACAATACCTTAAACGATAAGAACGCTCGCTAAAAGTCTCACGAATAGACGTTTGTTTGTAAACAACGACACGCTATGACCACCGGCCACAGGTGACAACTCCCTCCGACTTAAAAAAGTATACCTGTTATTCGAACACTTTCTTCATTAATAGCTAAATCGTTGACGTCATTGGCACCTTCCACCAAACGGTTTTCCACAGCACTGGCATTGATTGAACTGTCATTTAGAAAATAAATGACGTATTCTGCATTTACGCTTCCAGCGGAAAATCCAAGGACGAACGACTGAACATAGCTGTCGTTAAAAGTTATCATCACTGCATCAAGCTGTTATAAAGAAAATAATCCAGGAGTTTTAGTATAACTTGATGACATAAACATGACATTATTAATTACCCAAAAATAAACCGACTCACCAATTGAATCACGTCTTGTTCAAGTGATTTATAAGCACTTGAGTCTTTGTTATTTAACGCTGAAGAGAAATTGATATCGACGCCGTCTTTTTGGAGAATCTTGAATTCCCCCTGGTAACTTTTGGTTCCTGGTAAAGAAGCGCAAAAAATTTATGAAACTTGTTTTATACTCTCTGTTGAGAGCCAATTATACACTCAACTTAATGGAAAACGTTTATTAAACGTGGAAGAATGTTGTAATGCATCTGTAATGAATAAGAACCAGTAGACGACGACGAAGAACTTACTCTCGCAAGCTCCATCGACTTTGAGATGGCCTGATTTACATTTACACACATATCCAACACTTTTATCAACACAGTATTCCATTTCCGAGTCACAGGGAGCTGTATCACATTCATCTTCACCTGTGGGATAAAGAAAAAGTAGTGCAGCAAATTTAGTAAAAGCATACATAAATGGCGTAATATGATGATGAATTTGTTGGATTTATGAACATATATTATAGTAGTGTTTATGTATTTTTGCTTTTGACACAGAAAACATTCACATGGCCACAGCGCAACGCAGTTGTGAATTTAGATGCAATGCTGAATGTGATAACCATAGACAAACATGTCCGGAAATTATCCACGGGGTTGTCATCATTTAAAACTACACACAAAAGTCCCACAACATTTATGCAACAACATCTTTCCACATCATTCTTCGGTGAATAGATGCTTTACAACATTATAGAGATTTTTTTTCGTTATTGCATCAACTCTTCAAAATACAGCGGTCAAATAGGTTAGGAAATCAGATGACACGAAGCCGGCAGCGATCAATAGAAATATATTGGCTCTTTCGCTATCAAACTTGAAGGCAGATCTCGACGACCATTCGCGAATGAACTTTAATGATCACCGGGGAAGCATAACATCTGTTTATTTTTTGGCTGATGCAATTCAGATATATTTATAGCGTACCTCGCTTTAAAGTAGTTGGCCCCTCCGTTGTGACTATTGCTGCAAGTTCACAGTTATCACCACTATATCCGTTAACGCAGCTACATATATACGTGTTTACACCGTCTGTGCATTGACCATCATTCTGGCATGGACTGGAAGCGCAATCATCCACATCTAAATACACACAACATTGATTTCATTACCTTATAATTAAATACTGTAAAGCATATCTTTTTAGCTAGCATGTTATTTTAGCTAATTCAGCTAATCTGTAATTTCGCTAATTCAAGATGTCACTAATTTAAAATATGTATTCTCACAATGAAATTGTTGACACTTTAGATAAATTATGATTCAGTTAATTCATGCATGGAGTCAAATTCGCTAAAATGGCATGTAGCTATTTAAACATGTTTTACAGTATACTACAACATTATCTGATAACATGCAGTTAGCGTAAAATTGTATTATACCTAATTGAAAAAAAAAGTTGTATTGAGATGCGATGATTAACAGACTGTGACTATTTTAGTGGATACAATATTAATTGTAATTATACAGCCCCACTAGTTTGAAACAAAATCATATCCGTACCTGTCTGGCAGTTTGTTCCCTCATATCCGGTATCACCACATTCGCATGAATACGAACCTTCTATATTAGTACACACGCCGTTGTTCAGACATGGCGGATCAACTATACATTCGTTTACATCTGAAAAAGTGGTGTACAATAGTAGTTCATAAATTTGATATAATTGTAACGCAGAATGGTCATTGTAGACAAACACGTGACCAGACCAATACGTACCATTTTCACAATGGTCTCCCTGGTAACTAGTACCATCACATACACATGTATACAATCCTGCCGAGTTTGTGCACACACTATTGTGTTGGCATGGTGACGACAGAACACATTCATCAATTTCTAAAATTAACCATCCAGATAAATTCATTTAAATCACTTTCTGAAATATTGTCTCAAATATGCACCATGAATAACAACGTTACAACAATCGCGTACAGTTCATGTTCCACATCATGTTATAATTTCTTACATGCACATACCTATTTCACACTCTGTCCCTTCATATCCGGTTCCAGCACAGTCACATGTGTATGATCCTACAGTGTTAGTACAGGTACCGCCATTCTGACAGGGTGGAGCCTCTGTGCATTCATCGATATCTAAAGATATGGTAATATTGCCGAACATTATAACAACTAAGAAACTACACGTGTTGAAAACGACGTATATATGGGATTCGATATCTACATGTGCATGTTTCCTGGGAGGGGTTATATAATATATAATATACTTTTGAGTTGCTTATGCAATTATGTTGTTTGGCGAATAATATATTTGTGTTCTATATTTGTATACCACTCCGATCACAGATACTACCAGTGTCTGTCAACATTTCATAGGAAAAATGATCCAACAATATATGTAATCTCCATTGACAATTAGTTGTCGCTTTCCACACATTTTTGTACGTTTTCCAATAAACAACG